CTTTGAAAGTTCCATGCTAATGAGTTGTTTTTCCTCAGGTATCATGATTTATATTAGCCTGCTTCTTTTGCTTGTAGAATATTCTGAAGTCAAAGCTTAAATGTTTAAATAGCATTTTAGGTTATAAAAAATAACATATAACACATTATTAATTAATTAAAAAACTTTGAGATGCTCTTATTTATCCTTAGTTTTAGAATTTAGATATTTCTAGTGAAATAATTATATTATTTAAAATACTTACAAGCCAGCACTCTTGGGTGGCGCTGTCTGTTAAGTTTCTGACTCTTGCTTTCAGCTCAGGTCCTGATCTTCGGTTTGTGAGATGTCAGGCACCATGCTGAGCCAGTGTCTGCTTAAGACTTTCTCTCCCTTGTCCCCCGCCCCTCCCCGCACACTCTCATGCTCTCTCTCTCTCTCAAATATGTAAATCAGTAAATCTTTAAAAGAAACAGAACACTTGAAAGCCATTGTATATTTGTCTTTGTAGTCATAATAAATAGCAATAGATGAGACTTGAGTTGCATAAAGGAAATGGAAAAGGGTTTCAAAATGTTTGCATAAGCTTCCTTAAAACTTACACTTTTTATTTCCATTTTTCCCCTTAAAGATTTTATTTATTTGAGAGACAGAGAAAGAGAGAGAGCATAAGCCAGAGTGAGCAGGGGCAGAGGGAGAGGGAGAAGCACATTCCCCACTGAGCTTGACAAGTGGCTCAATTCCAGGACCCCAGATCACAACCTGAGCAGAGATCCCAACCTGAGCCACACGGGAGCCCCCACTTTCTATTTCCATTTGAAAAAATGTTGAATAAAACAGTTCAGTGACTTCCTTAAGAAGCTCAGGATCTTACTGTAAAATGCAGGTGTAAGACAAACTTTATAAAGAATGAATGGACACACATCAGTAAGAAAAAGGATAAAAACCAAATGGTTATTTAAGTAGATGCAGAAAAAGCATTTGACAAAGTACAGTATCCATTCATGATAAAAATCCTCAACAAAGTAGGTCTAGAGGAAACATACCTCAACATAATAAAGGCTGCATATCAAAAACTCAACAATAAACATCATAGTTAAGTATGAGTGCTTTTCCCCTAAGATCAGAAACCCCAATGGTCCAACAATCAGACTATTGGGTATTTATCCAAAGAATATGAAAATGCTAATTCAGAGCGATACATACGTCCCTATGTTTATTGCAGCTTTATTTACAATAGCCAAATTATGGAAAGAACCCAAATGTACATCAACTGATGAATGTATAAAGAAGGTGTGGTGTATATATATATACAATAGACTATTACTCATCCATCAAAAAAATGAACTCTTGACATTTGCAACAACATGGATAGAGCTAGAGAGTGTAATGCTAAGTGAAATAAGTCAGAGAAAGACAAATATGATTTCACTTATATGTGAAATTTAAGAAATAAAACAAATGAACATAGGAGAAAAAAGACAAGTCAAGAAACAGACTCTTAACTATAAAGAACAAACTGATGGTTACCAGAAGGGAGAAGGGAGGTGGGTGGGTAAAATAGTCGATGGGAATTAAGCGGCATATTTATCATGATGAGCAGTGAGTAATGTATAGAAGTGTTTAATCACTATATTGTTCACTTGTAACTAATATGACACTGCGTGTTAACCATACTGGAATTAAAATAAAAAGCTTAATACTGAGTGAATAGATAGAAGGAGCTATGCTTTTCTCTTCAAGAAAGTGGGAAAAGTAAAGAGACTAACAAATACTAGTATTTATCTACTGTGCTAAGTGTCTTACATATAATGACTGGTATACAGCACCTTTGTATGGTAGGTAGCGTTAACACCATTTTAAAGATGGACAGACCAGTCTTTCAACTGGTAGGAGCAGAACCAGAATTTAGAATTGGGACTCATGCCCAGTGCTTTCTCATGACTGTGAAAGAGTGATCCTTTCCACGGGCTAACAGAAACAGAATCCTAGCACTCTGCCCCTCCAAAGAGAGCTAATACAAAGTTTAAAGGGGAAGACTAGAGATGTTGAGGAGCCAACCTTTGTATTCCAAAGAACACTTGACAACAAGGGGTTGCAGATTAATTTAGGACTGTGAAAACAGCCAAGAAAATGAAAGCACTTAAGTCTATTCCAGTGAATCCAAAATAATACTTTGGCTTTTTTTGTTTTTAAGTTTTTGCACTGTATTATTAAAACCTTGTAAAGAGAAAGTAGAAGCTGAGAATATATTAATAGTTAAGAACGTAGAAGTTAAGTGGGGAACTAACTTGAAGGGATAATTTACTAAAGATCTTATACTTTCAGTAACCAAACATTTGCAGTGCATTCGGTATACTAACATTGAAAAGTAGACCTGCAGAGGTTTCTGTTTTTCAATTTGGCAGAAGGTGTTTTGTTTTTTTTTTTAAACAGTCTTTATACTTTATTCAGACTTCCTTAGTTTTTACTTAATGCTATTTTTCTTTTCCATGATTCCAAACAAGATACCATATTATATTCCATATTAGCTTTATTTATCTTACTCTATCCCTTTGGCAGAAGTTTTTTAAAAGGAGTAGGCAGTTTGTATACTTTGCAGAGGTTTCTCAGTTAAAACTTTCATTGCTTGGATGTTCATATAGAAAAAAGTGTGGGTTTGGTTTTTTTTTTTAAAGATTTTATTTATTTATTTGACAGATAGAGATCACAAGTAGGCAGAGAGGCAGGCGGGGGTGGGGGGGGGGAAGCAGGCTCCCCGCTGAGCAGAGAGCCTGATGTGGGGCTCGATCCCAGGACCCTGGGATCATGGCCTGAGCTGAAGGCAGAGGCTTTAACCCACTGAGCCACCCAGGCGTCCTGAAAAAGGTGTTTTAGAGAGCAATTTTTTTTGTATATACTAACATTATATTGTCATTAAATTCAGGATCTCTACTGAAAATCTTTCCTAGGGAAACAATACAGAATTAGAGAAAAAAAAATAACTACATATGAACTTCTGTCTCTCTATATATCCTAAGTTTATATTTAGGGTGTGTGTGGTTGTATTTGTATATATGTATATATATTGTAAAGTAGCTGTTGTAGATATACAAATATATATGTACATATATGAATATATATGTATATAGGTTGGTTGATTAGTTGGTTAGACAGATGAGAGGGAGGGAAGAAGGCAGCCAAGTTCTGCCTTCTTAAAAAAGAGGTTTGTAACTATTATAAATTATAACTGTAGCCACATAGAAAATCATTATAGTTTTAAGTGTAATGTTAAGTGAAAAACACAGGATAGAAATAACCGTACTCTAAGAATTGGCTGTAGTGCTTAAATCTGGAGTAATGTGAAAATGCAATGCATGTGAAAAAATAATGGAAAGAAATAGACATGATTTTTCCCTATGATGTGGTACTTTTATATAACTACTAAAAATTCCATGAACTATTAGATTTTTAAAGGAATATATTTTAACCTGATAATAATAAAAATGCAGCATGGGTCTGTTATAAAGTTCTGAGGTAAGCCTGTGTATCCACTGGGTTATAACATTATACTACGGACACACCCTCATTCGCTTCTTACCAGCTATCCTAAGTTTACATTTTAGGGCATAACCATACATTTGTTGTTGAATTCCTTATTTTAATTCAGTAACAAGTAAAATTTGATAATATTTTTTCTGTTAAAATTACTTCACTGTGTCCATGTAGTTTTGTAGTGTGTGTGTGTGAAGAGTTAGAAAAACTCTTTCTGCATGAGACTTTGATCTTTGCTTAACTGTCTAGCTCTGTTTCCTTGAAAACCTGTAAAACTTGGAATGTCAACTACTGCTTTTATAGTAAAAATTATTCTGGGTCTGGACTTGGAGAACTGTTAGTACTTGATGGAAGGCATAACTTGAACACCCTTGAATTCAGAACTTCTGTAGCGTGCATGAGCACTGTGGGCTCTGGAGTATTGATACCAGAGTCTTCCCCAAAATCTGTCCCATATGGATCTCATCACCTCATGCCTAAACTGACTTGGCAGAAGAAGAATGCCTCATGCTGCTTTCGCAAACTGTAGCTCCTCACCTCACATCCTGCTGAGTGGTGCCAGTGGGACCTCAGATGGTATGTGGGTCTGCAGGTTTTAGTTCATCCTAAGACCCCTAGAGGGTATTGCTGTAGTATAATTCTACAGTTAGTTTGTAATTTTCAAAGTGACAAAAGTAGCATTTTAACTTCATATTAGTTAATTACTTAGTTCATTTAGTTTTATCAGTACTTTGAGAAGAACATTTGACTACGAGTCTGGAGACAGGGATTTTAGTCCTAGGTTTTTAATAATGGATTATATTACCTTGGGCAGGTCAGTTAATCTCTGAAATTAAATTTTCTTAAGTGTTAGATAAGAAATTTGACCAGTGTCCTTTCTGGTGTCTCTTCCAATGCAAAATCCTATAGTTCTTTTATTTTCTTTCATCGTAAGTTAATTTTTAATCTTTTATGGAGAGCATTCCAGATTTCTTTTAGCCTGGCAGATGATCAGAGAGCTGAAAGCCTAAGGTGCTACAATGTGCATTCTTTCAAATTTTGCTTTTGGAAAAGTTGTCAGATTATAGCCACGTAATTAGAAAAGAAACATTTACTGCCTTTACAGTAGAATTTAAAGAATTTAAAAATACTTGAGGAACTGGGGTGTCTGGATGGCTCAGTCGGTTAAGCATCTGCCTTTGACTCAAGTAGGCAGAGATGCAGGTGGAGAGAGAGAGAGGGAAGCAGACTCCCTGCTGAGCAGAGAGCCTGATGTGCGACTCAATCCCAGAACCCTGAGATCATGACCTGAGTCAAAGGCAGCAGGCCTGCTTCTCTTTCTCCTTCTGCCTGCTGCTCCCCTACTTGTGCTTTCTTTCTGTCAAATAAATAAACGTAAAAATTAAAAATTAGAAAAAAATATTTGAGGAGCTTTGGGAGGAGAAAACATTGAATGTTTGAAAAGCTTTTGATTATTTTAAGATTTTGGTCTCAACTTTCATTTATAGGTTGTGAACTGGCTTGAAGGTCCTGGATCAGAACAACTACGAGCCCAGTGGGGGATTGGAGACTCCATCCGAGCCTCCCAGGCCCTACAGCAGAAGCATGAAGAGATTGAGAGCCAGCACAGTGTGAGTCCCTCTCCTCTGCAGGTTATCGGCTGTTGTTACTGGGCATAATTAGGAGCCTGTGTGGTGCTAAGGGATAAGTTGTTATAAACTTTGGTATAGGGCATAAAGTATAGTATGTTTAATATTTAGAGGCCATAAAGAACATTTTGACAATTTAGTATGTATTTATTGGAAGTTTGGTTTTGCTTTGCCTCCAGTATAGTTTATAAATTTCTATAGAAACAAATCCATATGAAATTTTTAAAAATTACCATGACAGAATAAAGAGTGATAGTGCAAAAATAGAACCTTCGTCTGCAGTCCTGAGACAGAAATTATAATCCTTAAATCCTCAGAGGGAGGCCTGGGATGTCCCTGCTTTATTAGGGAGAGTACAGTACAGTTAATGCCTGAGAATAATTGCAGAACTGGTGCATTAATCACAACTAACGGAGAGTGAGTGCAGAGGGTGCAGGATATCTTTCCATTCTTTGTGCATTTAGGGGCTCCCACTTGTAATTCTGAAGGAGATGATCAAACAAATCAGTTATAAAATTAGAAAATGATCTATAGGCAGATTATAGATAATCATTCAGGAGGGCTTAAAATTTAACAACTTGTGTATGGAGGAAGTTGATATACGTTAAGCTCTTGCTCTGTTAAAGTTAACTCTTCATTATTGAGAAAGTGATCATCTGCTTTGTGGTTCAATTAGTTCATCCTTTTTCTCCCCCCAGTCATATTATTTCTGATAGCAATTTAAATAGGTTGACTAGAAAAGTAGAAAAATAAACAGATTCATTTATTTCTATCTCCTTAGATTATCTGGCTTAAAAATATTGATCAGTTCACACACACACACACCATTCAACCTTGCATTTAATATGAAGAATAAAACATCTTTCCCATAAATAGGTAATAAAAGAAGTTAGCCTTCCCCTCCAAAACAAAAGCAAAAACAAATCCAAATGCTCAGAAGACACTCTGATTGGATTTATGTGTTAATTGGGAAAAAAAGTCATGTGTTCAGGGATGAATATAACATGCATCCCGATCACTAGGCTCTAAATGCACAATAATAGAGAACTAAAAAAAAAATTGTTCAATAACAATTTTAAGTTCTGGGCCCAGATGAAATTTATGGATTATGTGAACATCTAAGTTTTTCTTTTCCCTTTAACTTCCCCAATTGAAGTGGTAGTTAAAAGTTGAGTAGTATTAATAAATTCTATTTTAACTAAATGAGATTAAAGAAGAAATGTTGAACCTCTGTTTCTCAGGAATAAATTTGAATTGTTGACCATGTGTCTTTTACTGTTTACTAAAGATGTATTTTAACAATATTTGACATTATTTTACTCTTTAATATATACAATTCTGTTTAGTTACTTATATTGTTTTCTTTGTAATATTCCCCAAATCAGCTTTAATAATCTGTTGTATTGGCAGATAAAATATATACTGTACTCTGTAGGATTTGTAATCTAGCTGAGAGAATAATATGGAAGAGATATCACAAGATTTGGATTTGGAATCATCTAAAGATTATATATTGTCTGCAGTTTTCCTAATTAGTATTCTTAAGAGATTGATTGATGGATAGAGAGGGAAGGGGAAGGGGGAAGGGCAAAGGGAAAGGGAGAGAGAATCTTAAGTAGGCTCCATGCCGACTGCAGAGCCCCATGCCGTGCTTGATCTCACAACCCTAACCTGAGCCAAAAATTAAGAATCGGGTGTTAAACTGACTGAGCCACCCGATCACCCCAGTACTTATAAAAGATTGAAATGAAATCTTATGAAATCCTATAATTGAAAAAAATCTGTATATTTTATTCATTTCACAGGGTCCAACATAGTGCTTTTTCCTTTTATGCTAATAAAATATACTGAGTAGTTTGTATTTAACTTATAACTCCTGTTCCTGAGGTTATAATCTTTTAATGTTCTTGGTACTTTTTTTATTATTTTTTAAAATTTTATTTATTTATTTTTAAGATTTTATTTAAGGGATGCCTGGGTGGCTCATTCGGTTAAACGTCTGCTGTGAGCTCAGGTCATGATTCCAGGGTCATGGGATTGAGCCCCATGTCAGGCTCTCTGCTCAGTGGGGAGCCTACTTCTCCTTCTGCTTGCCCCTCTCTCTCTGTCTCTCTCTCTCTGTGTCAAATAAATTTTAAAAAAATCTTTAAAGATTGTATTTATTTATTTGAGAGAGAGTGCACACACATGCTCACAAGGTGAGTAGAGAGGAACAGAGGGAAAGGATCTCAAGCGGACTCCACACTCAGCCTGCCACAGGGCCGGATCTCACGATCCTATGGTCATGACCTGAGCCCAAACTGAGAGCTGGAGCTTAACCCAGGCGCCTCTCTTGGTACTTTCTAAATAACGTAATTCTTTTGATATTTTTGATACTGACCGTGACTTATTTGAACCCTGTGGATTGTTCTGGAGCATGTTACTATAGGGTAACTATATCCTATAGTTTGTACTCCCCCTTTCTTAAAAGATTGTATGTATTTAATTATTTATCAGAGAGAGACAGCATGAGCTTAGCATTAGTTCAGTGCATAAGAAGGGGAGTGGCAGTCAGAGGGAGAAGCAGGCTCCATGCTGAGCAAGGACAGTGATGCAGAACTCGATTCCAGGACCCTGGGATCATGACCTGAGCTGAAGGCCCACACTTAACCGACTGAGGATATCCAGGCATCCCACCGTTTTTGGTTCTTGAAAACAGTATTTGCTGTAAAACATTGTAGACTTCATCTAGAGGATTTGGTTATGAAAGTATCCCCAGAGTCCTTTATGTAAAGATACGTGACACTTGAGGGACCTAAAGACAGGATTTATCTATATTTTACTATTTTTTAAAGATGTCAAGAGGAATAATTATACTTTGAAGTTAGATTATGTACCTATTATAAAGAAGTTCACAAAAGGAATTGAAAAACACATTTTATGTTGCATACAGTATGGATGAAATTATAAATAGTATACATAGAGATTCTTATGTTTAGGTTTTTATTTTTGTATTTTTATTTATAAAGTTTAAAAATCAATTTATTTTACTTATTTTTTTAAAAGATTTTATTTATTTGAGAGAGATCTCTGTAAGAGAGAAATACAGCATGAGCTGGGGATGGGACAGAGGGAGAGGGAGAAGTAGACTCCCTGCTCGATGTGGAGCTCCATCCCCGTACCCCAAAATCATGCCTGCAGCCAAAGGCTGACGCTTAACCAACTGGGCCACCCAGTGCCCCTAAAAATTAATTTAAATGAAAAAATTGCTTATGGATAGCTCTGTGTGTTCAGGTTTACTTATAATGTGAATAAAATTTCAGAACTTTTGAATTGGAGAGGATCTTACAGATTCTTCTAATGTCATCACCTTATTTTTATATGAATAAACTGGGAGAGAACATTTTTTGATCACTGGGTAGCTAGACTCGGTTGAAACACCAGTCTCTTCATACTCATGAAGTTCTTTTTCCTCTCTCTGTTTCTCTGTATTTCTCTTTCTCCCTTTCTATATTTTTCTGTCTCTGTCAGTCTGTCTCACTTGCTTACTGGCTAGCTCACAATGAAAGCTAATCATGGACGTGCTTAAGATAATAGCATTTTTTTTTCATTCCTATACTCTTAGTATTTGAGGACATATGCACATATATTGTTGTTTGCATTCATGGACCTGGTGCTCAGAGAAAAGAAACACTGATGGTTTATGGATTTCATTTCTTTAAATGATGTATGTCAGTTTCAAAATTGGGAGGTGGGGACAAATTGAGTGGGAGTGTAGAAGAAACAGAATTGGTCAGGAGTTGATAGTTATTGAAGATGGATGGCACATGGGGTTCATTATACTGTTCTTTCCACTTTTGAATAGTTTGAAATTTTTCATTCTACAAGGTTTACAAATGAGAATTGCACTGTTTTAACCAATAGGTGGCACTACATTGTCACCTTGAGAATAGGTTGATTCAGGATGAGTATATTAGCTTATGATGTTCCAATATTTTATTAAAAGCTTTTCTATTTGTAATAGGAACACTTTAAAGCATATGTTGGAGTTGTTCAGGTCTTAATGAAATTATGACAAATTTCTGGTATATTGATTGGTTAATAGGGATAGAAATTACCATACCATTTTGTGTTAAATCACTCTGTTGAGTATTAAATTTTAGATTCTGATAAAAGCATAATCTTAAAGCTAAAAATAAATTTATTAGAATATTTAGTTTTAATATACATAAAATGAAAATATTACAAATATGTAGTTCTTTGTCAAGGAGTGTCAAAAGGAAGTTTGCTTTTTTAATATGAAGTAGATAAGCACAACGAAAAATAACAAGATATAAGAAAAATGATAATAGTAACTTAAAATACATTTTAACGTGTTTTAGTTCAGTAATCAGATTTTATCTTTTGGGCTGAGGTAGGTGGTTGTTAGGGAAAACACATCTCTGAAGCTTTTCAGAAAATGAAAATATTACAAATATGTAGTTCTTTGTCGAGTGTCAAAAGGAAGTTTGCTTTTTTAATATGAAGTAGGTAAGCACAACAAAAAATAATAAGATATAAGAAAAATGATAATAGTAACTTAAAATACATTTTAACGTGTTTTAGTTCAGTAATCAGATTTTATCTTTTGGTCTAAGGTAGGTGGTTGTTAGGGAAAACACATCTCTGAAGCTTTAGGATTCCGTTCGTATCTCCCATCTCACAGTGCTGACTTTTGGTCTTCAAAGAGAACATTGTTGTGTCATGCCTAATAGTAAGCAGCAAAACAGATGTGCATGAAGGGTCAACACCCATCTCTCATGAACATACTGACCTTAATCAAGTGAGCTGGCAGTGTTTCTTTCCTTCTAGATTAGAATTCCTGTGTCTTGGTTTAAGCATAAATACCCATTATTTCAGCAGCTATGCATCTCACCAGTTCCTGCACAATTCCAGTGTCAATCCTGATGACTACCTCTGTCCTACTTATGTGAACATTCAAGCTCCTTTCTTACCTACCGTCT